CAAATGCCATATTATATAGTATATATACTTAATACTAAGAATGTTCCTACTAAACAGTATAGACAGTTCTCCAAAAATTAGAAATTGAGCTCCCATTTGACCCAGCAATACCGCTCTTCAGAATATACCCCAGAGAGGCAGGGTGGGATGGGGGATGTGAGGGGTGGGATGGATACTGGGATTGGTAGGGGTGGAGAATGGCACTGGTGGTGGGATGGGTACTCGATCATTGTATAACTGAAACCCAATCACAAAAACTTGTAAGTCTACAACTGTATCTCATGGTGTTTCACAAAAAAAAAAAAAGAATATGAAGAAAAAAAAAAGAATGTTCCTACTAATACAGTACCACTATTCTATAGGAACTTAATAATCAAGGTTCAACATGTGACTCACGTTGGACCACAAAGTTTTATCAAAGACGCATTAAGTATTCTGTCTCTAGTGCTCATTAAATAATTAAAAAAAATCCTTTGGAGGTTATTATTGGTGTTGATGAATATAAGTGAGTCAACTTCTTTTGTTTGTTTTGGGGCCACTCCTGGCAGTACTTAGGGATTACTTCTGGTTTTGTGCTCAGTGGTCCCTCCTGGTGTTGCTCGGGAGATCTTACCAGGAATCCCTTACCAGAGATCAAAACACAGTCACTACCAAGGAGACTGCATACAGGGCAAGTATATTACTACTCTAGTATTCTGACTCCCAAATGAGCTCACGTTAATACCACAGCCTAAAAATGGTTTAATAATTATGTTATTTTTATTCTGGGGGAGTGGCACACCCAGCAGTGCTCAGGCTTACCCCTGGCTCTGTGCTCAAAGATCAGTATCAGGTTGACCATGTGCAAGGCAAGTGCTTTGACATGTAAACACACTCTCTCTCTCTCTCTCTCTCTCTCTCTCTCTCTCTCTCTCTCTCTCTCTCTCCTCATATTTTAACATTTTCACTGATCCAGGTTGCCTTACTTACTATAAGGAAATCCACAGCTTTATATCCCAGTGCTCTGGAACAATTTTTTACTCATGCTCTGGAAGAATTGTTAAGTTATTGTATTGGTCACTAGTGTCCTTTGTGAGGCTGCTCCCTGGCTGGATAGGCAAGCCTCATGCATGGCAGGTTGTGAGGTCCATTGCAGGCTGGGTGAGTCAATGGGCCTCTCTCCAGTATTGTGTGTATTATCACCTGGGCTCAAAGTAATACTTCTCAGACATGAAGTCCCAGAAAATGTTTTGTGAAAATGTTTTCTCATTTTCTAGCCTTAACTTCTTTCCACTCCTGTCCCCGCGCCTGGCTGTCCCCCTTGGAGGGGGGAGAGTTGAGTTTCTCTCCCCCCACCCCGCCCCGAGCAGAGCCCCAGCAGCTGAGGACCTCCGGAGCCAGCCACAGCCATGCTGGGACCACTCTCCACAGGTCTGGACGGGCCTCATGCATGAAAGAACTGGCAGAGGAACCCAGGCATGCGGGTCCCGGGGCTGAGGTCTCCAAGCCTACTCGGATTGGGACTGGGACTTCTCCACCCAGACCCCCCATCTTCCAGTAGGTAGGCGTTACACCCACCAGCTGCCGGCAGTGCCAGATTGGTCCCATTAATGGCCAAGATGCAGAGACTATAAAACCCAGCTCCCAGAGGAGAACAGCACAGTCTCCTGCCCCTGTGCCTGACTGTCCTCACTGGGGCCCCTTGGAGAGGGGAGGGTTGAGTTTCTCTCTCCCCCCCCGCCCCACACGCCGAGCAGAGCCCCAGCAGCTGAGGACCTCCGGAGCCAGCCACAGCCATGCTGGGACCACTCTCCACACATCCAGATGGGTCTCATCCATGATAGAACTGGCAGAGGAACCCAGGCATGTGGGTCCCGGAGCTGAGGTCTCCAAGCCTACTCGGATTGGGACTGGGCCTTCTCCACCCAGACCCCCCCCATCTTCCAGTAGGTAGGCGTTACACCCACCAGCTGCTGACAGCGCCAGGTTGGTCCCATCAATGGCCAAGATGCAGAGACTATAAAACCCAGCTCCCGGAAGCACACGGCTGCATTTGTGGCGGCGCGACATCTTATTATCTTTCCTTTGGAGAACTTGGCAGGCTACAAAAAGTATCCTGCCTGCACGGCAGAGTCTGGCAAACTTCCCGTGTCATACTGAATATGCCAAATACCAGTAATAATGATGGGTCTCATCCTCCTAATCCTGAAAGAGCATTGAAATAGCTCTTTTAAAATCTCAGGGCTAGGTAGAAGGAGACGTTACTGGTGCCTGCTCGAGACAATCGACGAACAACAGGATGATCGTGATCGTGAACTTCTTTCCTCGAGGGATTCAAACCCATTTGAAGATTCTATGGGAAGAAAGGGAATATGGACACCACACCACTCTTATTTCTTCTGTTTCCAAGGCTGCCAGTACAAAATGTTTCCATCTTCATTCACAACTATCAACTCTAAGAAGATTTATTTATATAAGCCCAAGGCTGGAGGCAACACCGGTCGATCAGGCTTATAAATGACCAAAGAAAGGCTTTATGCCTCCTTTGGTCAGGTGAACTACTTAAGACCTCAGGGCGGTTTTATTGCCCTTTCAAGCAGTTCAGACAGAGGATAAATTGAAAAGTTCTTTTTTTCTACTCTAATTGAAGTCCTATGTTGTCTCATTGCAAAGTGAAACAACTGAGCTTGGAGAAAAGAATCACACATTTTTTAGGCTGAGGAGGGCCACCCTGAGTCACATGCGCCTAGTGTCCCTGGGGATGGAGTGCCCTGGCTTCTCACTAACAGAGAGCTCTGGGATCTCTCTTGTGCTGGCACTCACATGGGAACACGAAGAGCAACAAACATAACAGCAAAGGAACAACATAGGGGGCCAACTTGATTTTATTCCTGTTTTCTCAGAAGCATGCTTAAGGTGATATGGGGATTGTAAGTGGCCCTATCTGTGACTTTTCTTTAAATACTGATAAGACATATGAAAACAAAGTCCACTGGATCCTTCCTTCCTCCTTTTCTTTCTCTTCACCCACCCACCTTTCTTTCTCTTTCTTTCTTTCTTTCTTTCTTTCTTTCTTTCTTTCTTTCTTTCTTTCTCTCTCTCTTTCTCTCTTTCGTGTTTGGGGGTACACTCACATCTGGCAGTGTTAAGGGGTCATGGTAGTGTTGGGGATCAAACTGAGTTGTCTGTGTGCAAGTCAAGCACCTTACCTGCTATCTTTTTTCTTAGTTCATTTAATTTTGTATGCTTTGGGGGGCTACACCTAGTGATGCTCAGGGCTTACTGCTGACTGAACTTAGGTATCACTTCTGGACTTACCCTTGATCTATTTAAATACTCTTGCTTCTTCTTGATGTTGGAGAAATGATCCTGTAAAGAACAACCTAGGTATGACAGAAATATTATGAAGTGTAATATACAATAGTGTAAAAACAATTAACAAAAAGCTAAAATGAAAAGTTTTTTCTCACTCTCAAATGATCCTAATAATGCATTTTTGATGATGATGTTTCAAGGTTATTTGTGGGTAAAGTTTAGCCTCTTCTGGTTCTTGATTCTTTTAAAATATATCTTTACATTTTTTTCTGTAGCCAGGGCCCTTGAACCCATTGTCTCGAAGGTGTAAGGCAAGGGCTTTACCACTCAACTATAAGATCAGGTGATGTGCACTGACCTAGTCCAGTGTCTGTTTCTCTACAATCCATGGAACCCAGCTTTCCCAAAGGATAGACAGACACTCTGGCATTTAAATGCCAGTCATAGATGTGACATGTATCTGTGATGTCTGTCTTTCCCAGCGACATTCTAGAGCAAAGGCACAAGTCAAACACTCCAGGTACAATGCCTGATCTGCCAATCTACCACATGGCAACTCAAAACAGCAAGTTCTCTGGGCTCCAGTTTCTCTAGTTAACAAGAACCATCCCATCCTTTTCACAGGAGTTTTTAGAAGTATAAATGAAGGAGTGAAACTGGAAATGTTCTCAGCCATGTTTGGTCCAGGTGCTTACTTAGGTTAGTTTACTCAAAAGATGACAAACCCTTAACTAGAGAAAAAAAATTTTTTTTTTTCAAAATTGGATAATATTGTATTGTTCAAAAGGTAGTTGGAGGACTTCAATTTTTGGTTTCCTTATATTTTACAGGTAGATGCCAACTCTGCTAACACACACACACACACACACACACACACACACACTTATCTAATAGAAGAGTGCACACTTGTCCACAGACCTTGAACCCTACTGATGGGAAATGAAGCTTTGTGAGCTTGCTTGTTCGAGGAGTAGCGGGCAGGGACTCATACAAGCACTTGCCCACGTCTAAGGGATGCCTTTGTGGGCACTTCTCTGCCCCGTTCTCTAAATATCGTGATATTTACAGTATCGCAGCTCTTTCGATCAGAACTGCCTTCGCTCTCCCGTTGCCACTGAGCAGCGACAGGGATGGGGACTCCCCACCCCTTCGCGATTCTGTTTCCTAACTTTCTAAACCGTTTTGGCAGCCCCTTGGATTCCGGGCGCCCACGATGCTCGGATACAAGATCCCGGCGGCGCGTCAAAGGACTCCACCTGCCCTTGTGGTGCTCGGCGGCACGTCTCCGGGGTGCTGTGCACTGAGCCCCGGCTCTGGGGACCCCGCGGCCGACAAGGCGGGACGCAAAGGCAGAGAGCTCGGGCCAGCGCCCCTCTGCATCGCCTCGGCGGGGTACCCCGCCCCGGCGCTCGGGTTGCTAGGTCCTCTGTTTGCCGCGTTCTAAAGGAGCCCCGAGCGGGACCAAGGCAAGCCCAGAGGGGGGTGCGCGGGAAAAGCCAATCGCGACCGTCACCAAACACTGCGACAGCTGCCGATCTTCCATGGCCCCCGAAGCCCCATGCCCTCTCGGCGCCGGGGGTACGGTGGGGTGCGGGGGTCCCCCCGCCCTCGTGCTTGGCTCCTCCCAGGCGTCGCCAGCCCCACGCGCCCTGGGCGTCCGCTCCGCCCCGCACGTCGCGCACCCCCGGGCCAGGCCGGCCCTTGGTCTGGACCCGCGGAGGCCGCACCTCTTTGGGCGGTGCCAGCTGCTCCAGCTGCTCCGGGCGGAGCACCAGAGCCAGAGCGGTGGCTGTCGCGGGCGCCGAGGAGCGGCGGACCGCCGGTGCCAGCTGCCGGGCCGCGGGGGACTGCCCGCGGGGAGACGGGGAGCCCGAGAGTGGCAGCGGGAGCACCGGCTGCGAGGAGGCGAGAAGCGGGGCTAGGCTGTCTTCTCCCTGGTGAGGACCCCTGCCCCATCCTAGCGACCCCCTTTCCGCGACCCCTGCTCCCGAGACCTGCCCCCACCCTACCCCCGCCCGGGACAATCATTGGTCCCAGGACTCTTCCCTCCGCGGGCTCCTGCTGTTGCTGCTGCTGCTGCTGCTGCTGGCAGTGGTGGTGGTGGTCGTGATTCAGCACCCTTCTGGTCCCGGGAGGGTTGCCCGCTTGGGGGAGGCCCCCCCGCCCCGGCCTGCCGCCGCGCTCTGCCCCACACCCCCCATCCGATTTCCAGCCTGCCGAAGGTCCGTCAGGGCGGGAGGGGTCGGGCCAGGCCCGGAGGGCCAGGCTGTTCTCTGCTCGCTTGGTCTCAAATCTCGCCTGGTGCCTCTTCCTGGGACAAATCCCCTGGAGGATGAGGTGCAATCTTCAAAGTGTGTCAGCCTGGTGTCTGTTTCGCACCTGCCTGTAAAATCTAGGGCCTCTCCATTTCTCTACTTCTTGCCTTTTGGGATGCTGACTTCATGGCCATCATCCGTTCCGTTTCCCAGCGCCCCGCTTTTTGCTGCTACTGTGTAAGCAGGCAGGATGCTGTCTCCTAGTTGTATTTAAGCTGCATGGGGCCGATTCTGTCACAAGAGTAAGAGATTTAAGGGAGGTCTGAAATAAAGCTTTTAGAGCCGAGGCACTTGCTTTTTAGACATCTATTATTCCGTGAAGTCGTCGCAACAACCCAAATGTGCAAAGTAAGGAGATAGAAAGTTAAATGTATCCACTCAAGGTCACGAGACAGGAACTTGAATATAAGGCTTTTCAGTCGCCAAGGATCACAAGCCTTCTGCTGTATTAATAGTGTGTCCAAGTGTGCATATGTACTGTCTATTAAATATTAATACTTTGATTGCTTTTCATAGGCATAATCCCAAACAGCAGCAACAAGCTGCGAACTTCTGTGTATAGACTTAATGTTTGGTATGAAAGTGAGAGAATTCTGAGTCATGTGGGAAAAAATTTCTATTTTCTTAGAAATCATATGTCAAAAAAATATTTGCATAGCATTTCCCAAAGAAGTTCTAACAGAAGATGCTAAATGTGATTCGGATGGTAGTACTTGTTGATGCTCAACCAGATTATCCCAGGGGTCATCAAGGAGTGATCCCTGAGCACAGGGCTGGAGTAAGTGCATTTTGGGTGTGGCACCACAAACAAACAAACTAAAGCCTCTAGAGAATGCTGGCAGTATAAACAGCCACTAGTTCATAGGGTGTGTGAACTGTTTTCAATGAGAGTATTAACAGCTACAGCTGACTGATGTGACTCATTCCAACCTGGATTTGACATAGCTATCAATACCTTATTTTAAAGCCAAATAACTGAAAAAAAAAAAGTACAGCTAGTAAGTGGTGGGATGTGGATAAGCACAGATTCTTGGGTGTTAGATATCTCTTTAAAAAGAGAGTGTGTTTGTATTATAGCTAAGTGGGAATTAGCTTATCAAGTGGGAAAGTGAATTGATTTATTTTGCCATGCCCTTCAGTATCAAGTTATGTTGATTTGTGTGCTTTTTTTTGTATTTGCAGAAATTGTAGATGCTAGGTGTTTGCTTTGACTATTGCTTTGTCGTGTGATTGGTTTTCATTTATGATTCATGCATTTTCACTTTAAGATGTACAACTTTTTGATGGCTCAGGAGTCAGATTGCTAAAGTGCAAACGCTCATTATCTTTAAGTACTGTGAAAGTACTTGATGGCTGACAGGAACGCACTCAAGTCAGTCCATCAGTTCTCAAGTATTGAACCATCTACTTGGTAGAGTTTTTTTTTTTAAGTTAATGGGGTATTGATACACTAAACCCATTGCCTTCTGCATTCATCATTCAGATTAGATTTTGAGAGAAGTTGCATCCTATAATAAGTTTGATCTTAGGAAGTAATTTTCTCTTGTTTATTTGGCCATAGAGTCTATCCTGATTTCATTTTCAAGTTCAATTTATATAATTCCAAGAGGGTGAGCAGAATTGGTATGAATAATTAACAAGAAATACAACACCACTACTTTTTTTTTTTTTTTACAAAAGGGAAGTGTATGTATCAGTGGTGGAGGGCCAGTAGAAATGTTTTAAACAAGGACAGTACACTTAGATAACATCACCAAAAATATTAGACTTTCTTCCTTTGCATATGTGTTTTATCTTTGTCAAATGACTGTTGTCTTCTTACTGTCTAAATTTTTAACCTCAAGGAAATCAAAGTGCTTGAATATTAACAAAATCATTAGAATTGACTTACTATCAGAAAAAAAGGATGGAGCATATATAAATGGTATAGCAATACCTCAAAAAAGAGTAAAAAGTAGAAACTGAAGTTATCAGAGGAGTTGGAATGTTTGCAGGGATGAAAATAAATTAATTCACTCTTCAGAGATGAGAAGGCTTTCTACAGTCAGGAGAAAGCTAGACAAAGAGGTTGGCTGAGAAGTGTTCATACATGGTCTTGATATAGAGTGACAAATTAAGACAAATCTTGAAAATCAGATGGTGAAATCTGTAATTTATTTGCGAATTAAGAAACCAGGATAGTTTTCTGAACAATGTAAGTTTCTCTTTGACTGGTCTTGCTCACAAATCTTTCTATGCTTTTCTCCAATTGTCCTTGCTGAAAACAGTGTATCTGGGAACTGGTATTAAAAGGATTAGTTTTTATCTAAACCTGGGGAGTTTTCTATGGAAGTAGAATATTTTTTTGGCCCAAGAAAGTTTGTTTTCTTTTTTTTTTCAAAAAAAATTTAATCATGTTCAGTCATGAACAGTATATAATAGAATAAGAAAAAAATGCACTATAATCATTCTAGAGAATCACTAATAATATTTGATGTAGTTCCTTCCGTATTTTCCTTGCATAGCTTTAATTGTACTATATAGGTTACTTATGATTTGTTTACTCTGAATTTATGGAGTTTTACTTTTTGAGGTTTTGCATTCAGTTTTACCTTGTACCATGAACAATTTAAAATGGTTGTATAATTCTCTTTCATATAGATACAATAATTTCCTAAGCATTGTTGTTATACTATTGATGGCAATAAATTGTATTGAGATTAATACATTGTTCATTAGCCAAAAATTTTCAATATTTTTGAGATTTGTTGTTTTGGGTTCTAGGGCCACATCTGGCAAGGGTCAGGGCTGACTCCTGGCTCTATACTTTAGGTGGTATCTCAGTACTGCTTGTAGGGCCATTTTCAGCTCCTGAGCCTAAATGGAGTCTGCTGTGTGCAAAGCAAATGCCTTAGCCCCTGTAGTATCTATATAGACTCTAGAAATTAATTTCATGCACTGGAGTCACATAAAATTTATGGGTGAAGAGGTTTAAGTTTTTAGTCTTACTGTCTTAAGCAAATACTTTTGAAATCATTGTATATGTCCTCTTTGGAATATTTCCCCATTAAGTATATAATATTTGTACATTAATAATTTATAATTCTATCTTATCCTTAGAGTATATTATTTTAGAAACATATACTTTTTGTTAGACTGGTTAGGGCTGGAAAGATAGTATAGGAGAAAAAGCACTTGCCTTGCATGCGGTTGAGTTGGCCATCACCCTGGTTCAAATCCTGGCACCATATATGTTCCATTGAACGCCCCAGGGGTCACTCTTGAGCACAGAGACAGGAAAAATTCCTTGAACACTGCAGCATATGGTACAAACAAACAAGTGAAAAACATGACTAGTTAAATTAAGCAGTCTAGGGGCTTTCTAAAGGCTAACAGTACCATTGCGGGGAGAAGGTGTAAATAAAATTGGAGGAAAGTTTCAGTACGAATAAGAGCATAATTCACATAAGAGGCACATACTCAGGTCCCAATGTTGTATATGGAAACCTCAGTTTCCCTACTTTGCCTCCAGCATCTATTCTGTCCCCACACAATATCTTTCTCCTTCAATCTTTAGCATATTTCCTTTTCCTGTACCAGATTCCCAGGGTTATAACTTCTGTATCCTGACTATACAGAGTACAGATAGGAACCCTCTCTTGCTCTGCAGTTTGGAGAATCCACACAATAATTCTGGACTTCCCCCTAATTCTTAACAAAAGTCCTATGAATCTGACAAAGTTATATGTCATGGACATTAAGTTCCCCGCCTCACTCCCCTCCGTGTCTCCAACATTCCCAATAGCCCCTTCCTGTGTTCAAATACTCTTCTGTGCTCATTCCCAGAATCCTTTGCTAGTGGAAATTGATTTTATGGAGGAGAGAGTATGGGCCTCAGTTTCCCCATCAGTAGGGACGCTTGGATCAGAGTACAGGACCCTAATGTTGGAGAAGTACCCTGGCCAGGGACCCTGATTTGTTCCTCCACACACTTGCCTGAATTTCCTTCAAGTACCTCATCCTCCAGGGAATGAATAAGTGGGAACTAATGAGCAGGGAGCTCATTAAGGTTCTCTGATTGCTGGTGGAAGGGGCAGTCAAGCTATAAGAACCTGCTGAGAACACAGGAAGGGAGAAGAAAGATTGGTTCAAAGATCTGCCACCAAAGGACATAGAAAACCTAGGTATCATATTACAAATCCCGAAGAGGTTCCTTCTTCCAGAACTGATAGATTATTTTTGTGACAGCCCAACATGGAGGGAAGAGAGGTATTTTGTGACTGATCTCAACCAACAGAGTCTCTAGGATGAAGCTAAAGTTAAAGTTGGAAATGTAAATTAAAATAGGTTTCCTTATTTATTATTTATGACTCCTTATTTCTGTGTTAGTTTTCCATTTAAATTTACTGCTCATAGTTCACAGTGTAGTTGACGCAAAGAAAGTGTTAGAGTTTTTTTTTATACTTTGGGAAGCTGAATGATCAAGTCTTTTTTTTCACTGCACTTTTATACTTGCAAGGAACTAGTTGGCCTGTGTTTCTTTGCCTCCTTGAAAATTTACTTAAGAGGTCAGAGGGTCACAGGGTCCTTCCAGAGCTGACCCATAGGTCTCTGAGAACTTTCTTTTGAAGTTGATGATGATA